TGGACAATTACAAATAATTATGTTGTGTATAATTATAATATTTTAGATGAATGCAGTGATCTGGCTGGTGACATCATGTACCTGGCAACAAAATTCATCCCCCAGAAAAAAGTGGCTGAAGGCCTGTTGGAAGAGGGAAATGTCAATGAAGCCATGTTCAAAACAGAAGACTGCAGGTAATTTAGTAACAATTTACTATTACACTTAACATTGACTAAATGATTTAATTCCAGGTGAACTGGAAAACTAAATAGCTGTTGATATTTTCAATTGCAGGAAGACCATGAACGCTTTACAAGATGCTTTAGAGAGTAATTGGGAAACATTTGACCTGGCAACACATGGTCTTGGTCCTGCTGTTATAAAGGGCACTTTTGCATTAGTTGATGCATGTCTTAAGGAAAAGATGAGAGCACTGAAATCAAAAGTCTCCACAGACGAGTAAGGTTTTACCCCACTTTATTTAGTACTTCCATTGTTTCAAATGCTTGTTTCTTGTTGATGTTCACTGTTCAGCAGTACAAAAAATAAAATAAAACAAAACGTTACAAAGACATTTATTTTTACAAGATTCTTGAAACCTCACTACACATACTAGCCTGTTTATGATGCTTTTTAAGGGACTCAATACAATGAGCAATTAGAAACAAGTAATTTATATTCTGATTCCATTGTCATATCAGATGTTTTGCAGTTTATGAATGGCAGATTCCAGAGAAATTTAATTGCAAACATTTTTAGTGTTTAATAAACACTACCATAGGGTTGTATTGCAAATTATTTTTGATTTTTCCCCCTTTTCCTTCTGTTTTTTCGTTTACAAATGTAATTCATTGTGAGTACACATTTTGCCTTTTTTACCTGTTGCCGATAGGCATGCAGTGCAGTTATTTTTCTTTTTCTTGACCGAATACTGAAGTTTGAAAAAACTAGTCTGTGTGCCCTCTCTACCATCTTGTACAGCTCCTTGTTTTCAATGTACGTTTCTGATTGGCTCCATTCTATAAGGTCTGTTAACATGGCCTGAAGTTCTGGTTTTGGCTTTCTGTTGGGTGTTTTCTGGCAATCTGGATAATTAGAGATTAACTCAGAAGGTGTCAGTGGAACGTAGAGGATGTTGCGAACCAAAATACAGACACATTTTTGGTTATGACTATTTGCCATGCATGTACAAAAATTTGGGCTTTTGTGATTTATAGTTGCGGCACTTCCATCACTGTGAAAGACAGTGAGGTTTTCATCATCTGTAATATATGAATGACTATCAATTATTTTTCTTGCAAGAGTAGACCTGATGTCTTGAATGTCTAGTCGTTGTTGCGGTGCAACAATTCTCGAGAAAACTATATGTTTGCACAGAGAACCACTTCTGGATGTTCTGCAGTCACATTTGACCATGACCAAATCAACTGTGTGAAACTGAGTGCTAGTATCTGGTGGAATAATGCATGTTCCGTTTTCATTCATTTCACATTTTGAATCCAGCCCCTTCTCAATCATAGACTAGACACTTGCTGCCAGCTCTTCTATGTAACTGAAAATCACACAATCATTCATTAGAAATGTAAATTAGTAGTGGCAGGAAATTATTGAAAATATAATTTATAAATATATTTAAAGTAGAGTAAAAAATGTTAATAGATTTGGAAGATAAGTGGATATTACAATTAACATTTACCAGTAATATTTGTGGACATCACCATACAGCAGGCTAAGGAGCTGGTCAATTCGCCTGTTAGTGTCCCCCTTCAGGAACTGATATTTCATTGTGTGGAAGAATCTATGCAAGAAAGACAACCGATTTGCCACAGTCAATATATTTAAAACGGTAGTTATGCGTTAAGGTATTTTATGACAAATACTTCTGGGTTTTTCTTTTTGGTTTTAGAGAGAGAGTGACAGAATATTGATTTACTGCTAGTTTTAAACATTACCTTAACAGGATTAGCACACCAAGAAAATGTTGAATATGAAAAATGTCCTGGCAAAGGAGTCATTGACTATGGAAGTCAATGGGGCTTATCATCTGTCAATGGAGCTAATCGACTGTTTGCTTACCCACATTCTTCAAAATATCTAATGTGTTAAGCAGAAGACAGAAATTCATACAGGTTTGAAACTACTTGAGTAAACAACTACACTAGTTTTAGTGACAAGAAGAATGCATGTTCATTATTCAAATAAATAGGCCTAAAATCCTGTACCTTTCTGCCTTGTTGTTGGTTTCACTGTTTTCATGATTGAATGATCTGCCAAAATTGGACCACAACTCCCCCCAAGAAGTCCAATGATTCTTCAAATATGTTGACATGTGTAGGAATCCAGCTCTTTGCACTTTGTAGAGGAAGTTTGGATAAAATCCTCTTCCTGAAGAACAGAAACATAAATTCACAAGGTTTATAACCTTTCAACAGTCTAAAAACAAGCTAAAGAATATTTGAGTAGAGGAAGACTCTATCTACGAGGCCTGAAGACCTACTTACAGCTTTGTCAAGCCAAAATAGTGTGGGGAAAAGCTTGTTTAGGTTATAGCTGTGAAAGGGTTACCGTTAAACACGCCTTCATTGTGACCATTGCTTGAATCACGATGTTTCTTTGGCCCACTGGTAGGTTTCCTCCATCTTGTTTTACCAACCACCTGTGGTGTTAAAAGAAATATATATTTTTAGATTTCATTACCATTGTTTGTGTAATTTTGTACAAAATAATTTAAAATTCCAAATGGGAAAGCATAGACGAAACTCACAATTGTGTTTTACAAAGTGAAATTCTGAAAGACAACTAAATAAAACCATATGTAATTTACTACAGATTCTGAGAAAATGTTAATTGCTGCAGTCTATTTAAAAATATTTTATTTAATTATTCACTCACACACTTTTTTTATTGTTTTGAATAAATGATTCAAATATATTTTTAAGTCACTTTTCGCCACTTGCTGGTGCAACAATCTAGTTGATGATCTTTATTTGTCAAGTTACTTTCTAAAGGTGATTTACTCTATTTTGCTACCGTAGACATCAGTGTTTATATCTGAACTACAAACTTTTATCTGTGGTTGAAAAGACAGCTGCTCTCTTTCTAAAAACAATTCAGGGGACCCATTACCCAAACTTAAATTCATGGCTGTTCAAAATTAAAATTTATTGTTAGAATTGTTAAATTCAACCTTTTATGTTGCAAACTTTATTTTGTTGAGTTCTTAATCTCAATAGAACTATCTTGATAACTTTGTAAACTTAATTTTTTGAGAAATCTGACTTTAAACGTTGTGTTTATGCTACAATTTAAGCTTCTCTAACTCAATGTAGTTTGTTGGTTGAACCTAAGTTCATTTGAAGTTGTCATAACATAAAAATTTATGCAAACAGTTGGGTTAACACATGGGTCAACGGCAGCGCCCATGCAGATTTGAATGTTCACTGTGATCATACATGTTAAAGGTTTTATAATCATAGCCAAATCATTGTCATTTAGGAATAGGATCGCATGGGTGTTTGAATCAAGATCACAATCTTTTAACGATTAATAGTCCAGCACTAGCTCATACTAATGTTTTTAAGGTATTTGTGAATTATTGGCAATAATCATACAAGTAAATAAATAAACAATATATATTTCAAAGTATTTCTAATATACTATACTTAGAAATAATGAATTTGCTGTGTGAACTGTTCTGTCATCTACCTGCGTGTGAAACCAGCAAACGAGGACCTTTGTTGAAGGAAAAATCTGCCTTATGGCATTGAGCTCTTTCTGGTCCCTGTCAATCATGACTGACCTATACAGAAAAAGGAAAACACATGAAATTCATGATTTTAACAGGTTTTTGTTCGACAAGTCACAATATGGAGAATTGAAGGGCTCCTTTCTTAGTCCCAAAGGGTACTAATCGGGGAAGAAAGCCAGGATTACAGCTAGAAAGCTTTTCCAGGCAGAGAGTGAGTGTGGCTGTTGATTCCTGACTTATAATGAAGTATGCAAATGGAACACCTCTTCCAATACTATTGCTCAGAAGAAGTTTATATGAGGTCATCCCTTTGTAGGTGGCATCCATGAACATCATGGGATGTGGATGTTCCTTAAGTAGTTGTTTTTGCCAGGGTGTCTGTACTACAATTATCAAGGGTTGTTCATCACTTAATGACTGATAAAAACAAATGTTCTCCTTTAGCTCTGATGTGGCGAGTATATCCACACTGACACAATCTTTTATATCAGGAAAAATTAGGGCATTGATGCTCTTTTTGATGATTCTAATATCCTCTGGTGTAACAATATCGACGATTGTGTTTGTCGATATGTCCATGCCTTTCTGCCCAATCAACACTCTTCAGAACCGATAGTCCTTGCTCAAGCCACATGTCAATAAAGGCAATAATGTTTCAACATTTTGTGCACAACAGCACCTGTAACTCCAGCATCC